TCCGTCTCCCTCACAGGAGAGGCTTGGTAGGGGCAGAATCACAGGGGGTTCTCAGGAAGACAGGAGGAGGTTGTCACACCCATGCAACACCCGGAACCCAAACCCGGCTCCCTCCGTGTTGATTGAAAGCAGCCGCATCCGAAGACAAACCTCATCCGTCTCCCTCACAGGAGAGGCTTGGTAGGGGCAGAATCACAGGGGATTCTCAGGAAGGAAGGGGGAGGTTGTCACACCCATGCAACACCCGGAACCCAAACCCGGCTCCCTCCGTGTTGATTGAAAGCAGCCGCATCCGAAGACAAACCTCACCCGTCTCCCTCACAGGAGAGGCTTGGTAGGGGCAGAATCACAGGGGATTCTCAAGAAGGCAGGGGGAGATTTTCACGCCCACCCACACTTACCGCAGCCATCCTCGTCAGAAGCGTCTCCGCAATCGGGATGTCCATTGCAACGCAATGCGCGGGGAACACATTCACCGCTGTCGCAGGCAAACTCTTGCTGGGCGCACTCAGGGGGCTCGGGCTCCTCTGCAGGGCGGAGAGAAGCACAGCTGAGAAACACACTCTCGCGGCGAAGGGGACCAGGAGCCCAAAGCCGCCCCCGCAGCTTCAAATGCTCACCACAGTCCAGCTCGTCCGACATGTCGCGGCAATCCGGCCGCCGGTCGCAGAAGAATTCGCGGGTGATGCACTCTCCACTCAGGCAAGAGAACTCGTCCGCCGTGCAGGGCCGGATCTGTGGGGAGACTGGAGGAGAGGTTAGGGTTTAGGAGGTGGCTGTGACCTGGCCGGGAGACAGGGAGACGGAAAGACCCAGAGGCCAGAATGCCTTTCCTGCTTCTTTGCCTTCGAAGCACAGCCTTTCCTCCCTCACTGAACTAAAACGCAGTTATGTGGGCAGGACTTTGGGAGGCAATCCGACATCTGACACCCCCAACGATCAGGTTTTGGGTTCCAGCTTGTCTTAGGGCATCTGCACCCTGCCACGACCCTTGGAATGCAAACCTTTTAAAGCTCTGCTGCCAGAGTAGGACTACACCCTCCGAACAAGAGCCCATGTGCCACTCCCGCTACCTTGTGATTGCACCCAGGCCCTTCAGCTAACACCACCAGCCTCCCACCAGGCTGCCAACCCCTCGCCTTGCTCCTCGGGGGCAGCGCACGCAAACCTCACAGCACAGCGCACAGTCTAGAAGCAATAAGCGATTTCAGCAAGGTGTACTTTTCAGGTAAATCTTCTCGCTTCCCACTTTGGCTCAGCAACACACAACGATGATGCGGCAGCAAGACCAGGAACTGGGGCAGTGGTGTGTTGAGGAGGGGGGGGGGGGGGGGGGAAGGCAGGCAGTGCTTTACTGGACTCCTGGGGTGTGCTAGAGTTACATAGCTGTGCGACGTCACCCGTCTTAGAAGGAGCCCCCTGCTTGGAAGCTTCATCCAGAGGGGCTGGGAATGGCAAGCCGTCACATCAAAGGCCAAGATCTACGTGCTACACACTCACATCCACAAGGAGCACAAGGAGAGGCGTGCAAGGAGGCCTGTAAATGCCCTCGGGAGGGAGGGAGGGAGGGAAGGCTGGGTATGCAGGAGGAAGTGGGTGGACGGACTCCCGGTTCCAGACAGAATCTGGGCCAAGAAGGACAAAAGACCAGCCTTCTCCCCCTCCTCCATCTATGGGGCCTAGCGCCCTGCAGCTGCTGAAACCGGAGCACCCTCGGGAGACAAATGTCTTCCCTGCTAAGACTCGCTTCCGGCCAAGATGCCAGGGAGGCCGAGGGCGTGCGGAGAGAGAAAAAGGGGAACGGCTGTCTCCAGGCAGCCTCAGCAGCCAGATTGGTGGGCTGCGCACAGGCCCCCTTGCACCTCTCTGGCCCCGGACTCACCTGGCGGCGC